ACTAAAAATACAAAAATTAGCTAGGTGTGGTGGTGGGCACCTGCAATCCCAGCTACTCAGGAGGCTGAGACAGGAGAATCATTTGAACCCGGGAGGTGGAGGTTGCAGTGAGCCGAGATCGTGCCATTGCACTACAGCCTGGGTGAGAGGGCGAGACTTTGTCTCAAGGTAAAAAAAAAAAAAAAAAAAGAAAAAAGAAAAAAGGGAGGAGCAAGAGGAGGCTCAGTTGATCATCTGTGATGTCAAGGATGGGCTCTTTCCCACCTGCACAGCTGAGTATATCCCAGACACCTGCCTCATGCCTTCCACCTACTGCCAGTTCCTCTGAGACCAAAGAAAATCAGAAGAGCCCTCTGCTTTATAAAGGACAGGCAGTGTCTATGTCATTATGCAAAATGGACCATGCAGAGCCCGAGCCAGAGACAGAAATCAAGCTTTGGAGAGGCGTGTCAGGACGCAAAGGATGCAAAACTTAAGCTGTGATGCTTAAGAAATAACTAGTGTCATATGTTCTGAGACAGAAGGAACCACGATTTTAGCCAATGGGATAAAATCCTGCCAGAGGATAGGGTCAAGAGACGGTTCCTATTTAGCAAATCAAAGGGAACAATTTTAATGCTTCAATTATCTGGATTATAGTGATGCTATGTGTTGAGGTGGAAGATAGGAACAAAGGGGTCTTTGAAGATGGAAAATGCAAATTTCACCCAGAGGCCTCTGAGGGATGGCCTGGCAGGGAGAGGCCCTCTAAGGATTGTCCCAGTAAAGAATGAGTCATGGCTGACCTCAGGGCCACTGGAGCCACAGTTGACCCAGAGTGGGTTTTTCTCTTGGGAAGAATTCCAGACCCCTTATTTCTTCTTGAGAGAATTCCAAGAGCCCAGGTTTCATCAACACCCACATCCCCTGACTCCTTTGTGGTTTTCATGGGGATGCTTGTTCAACTTTTTCTGAGAGCAAAGATGTATTTATGCTCTTTAAAAATATACGCACACAGTTTTATATATAATGCAGCATCACACCTTGTAGGGCATTTACTCTTATTTTACGCATTCAGATATGTTTGTTTTTTTTTGAAACACTTCTTAAGGCTACACAACAGAACACAGAAAAATAAACAGGAACATATTCAACGATTACAAAACATGATATGATAAAGAATATAAAGTATTAGTTTCCTTTCAATACTTCAAAAGATATGTATATAAACTTTAAAAAAAATGCTCAACATCACTAGTGATCAGGGAAATGCAAATCAAAATCACAATGTGATACCACCTTGCTCCTGCAAGAATGGCCATCATCAAAAAATCAAAAACGGTAGATGTTGGCGTGGGTGCGGCGATCAAGGGACACTTCTACTTGCTGGTGGGAATGGAAACTATATAGCCACTATGGAAAACAGTGTGCAGATCCCTTAAAGAACTAAAAGTAGATCTGCCATTTGATCCAGCAATCCCACCACTGGGTATCTACTCTAGAGGAAGGGAAGTCATTATGCGAAAAAGATACTTGCACACACACATTTTAAGGAGCACAATTCACAATTGCAAAATTGTGGAACCAACCCAAATGCTCATCAATCAACGAGTGGATAAAGAAGCTGTGGGCTGGGCACAGTGGCTCACACCTGCAATCCCAGCACTTTGGGAGGTCAAGGTGGGTGGATCATCTGAGGTCAGGAGTTCAAGACCAGCCTGGCCAACATGGTGAAACCCCTTCTCTACTAAAAACACAAAAATTAGCCGGGCATGGTTGCAGCACCTGTAATCCCAGCTACTCGGGAGACTGAGGCAGGAGAATCACTTGAACCTGGGAGGCGGAGGTTGCAGTGAGCTGAGATGGTGCCACTGCACTCCAGCCAGGGTTACAAGAGTGAAACTCTATCTAAAAAAAAAAAAAAAAAAGGAACTTTGGTACATATATATGATTAAATACTACTCAGCCATAAAAAGGATGAATTAATGGCATTTGCAGTGACCTGGATGAGATTGGAGACTATTATTCTAAGTGAAGTAACTCAGGAATGGAAAACCAAACATCATATATTCTCACTGATATGTGGGAGCTAAGCTATGAGGATGTGAAGGCGTAAGAATGATACAATGGACTTTGGGAACTTGCTGGGAGGGGAGAGGGTGAGGGATAAAAGACTACAAGTAAGATGCAGTGTATACTGCTTGGGTGATGGGTGCACCAAAACCTCACAAATCACTGCTAAAGAACTTACTCATGTAACCCACCTATACCCCAATATTTATGGAAGAAAAATCCCATCACTTATGGAAAAAATACCACCTGTACCCCAATAACGTATGGAAAAAACCCTAAACTTTTTCTTTTACAAGTAACATAACAGATACTCACATCTTCACATGCTTTTAAGTATTATTTGTACTCAGTGTAAGGCTATTATCATTTTTCATACATAAAGTTTTTTTTAGCTGTGTAACAGTGCAATTTGTAATCCATTCAAGTAAATTCACCCCCAAAGTTGTTGCTTCCCAGCATTAAGACCTGCACCCACTCCTCTTCTAAGATTTTTTCTAAAACTTGTAAAAGTGTAGCTGAAGGGAATGCATATTTGATGCATATTTGGCTACACTATTTCTGTTTACTGTATTTTGCTTCCTATTTTATGTCTAAATCCTATTATTTTCATTTAAATTCTTAATAATGGTTCATTTCCAGTATGTCAATTTCAAATATTTAAGGTTTTGCTACTAGTATCAGCCATTTACTTTCCCACTTATTGGGATTTTTTTAAAAGAGGTTATTTATACCCTTTTAGAGTTTGTCCCATTGTCCTTCTGGTTTCCCTCTACCACTTGGGAGGGATGACTCCTGGCCACACCATCATTGGTTGACTTGATCTCCAGCTCCACTGGAAGTCTCTGGGATTTGGGATATACAGTCAGAATGTTTTTGTCAATGACAGATCAGATATATGGGCGGTGGTCCCACGAGATTATAATGGTGCTGAAAATTCCTATTGTCTAGTGATGTCGAAGTGGTTATAATGTTGTAGTGCAATGTGTTACCTTTTCTATGTTCAGATACACAAATACTACCGTGTTACAGTTGACTGTGATACTCAATACAGCAACATGCTGTACAGGCTTGTAGCCAGACACTATAGGCTGTACTGTATACAGTCTAGTGTGTAGTAGGCTCTACCATCTAGGTTTGTGTGAGTTCACTCTATAATGTTTTCACAATGAAGAAATCACCTAACAACACATTTCTCAGAAAAACGCACCCAGTCTTAAATGATGCATATGTTACAAACTAGTGTAACTTTTTTTTTTTTTTTTTTTTTTTTTTTTTTTAAGACAGTTTCACTCTTGTTGCTGAGGCTGGAGTGCAATGGCACAATCTTGGCTCACAGAAACCTCCGCCTCCCGCCTCCCGGGTTCTCCCGGGTTCAAGCAATTCTCCTGCCTCAGCCTCCTGAGTAGCTGGGACTACAGGCATGCACCACCATGCCCGGCTAATTTTGTATTTTCAGTAGAGACCAGGTTTCTCCAAGTTGGTCAGGCTAGTCTCGAACTCCTGACCTCAGGTGATCCGCCCGCCTTGGCCTCCCTAAGTGCAGGGATTACAGGCGTGAGCCACCGTGCCCGGCCTCATTTAATTTTTTAATGTGCATTTCTTGTCCTCACTGCCATAGTATTTAAATCTTTTCCTTTGCTGGAACACAAAGACCTTCAGTAATTTTCTTTTCACCACAATTTCTCGCCCAGTAACTAAGCCTCTTCTTTCCCTCCCCTTAGGCCTAGCACTGATGGGGCAATGACACGTTGTTCTCACGAGGGGCCATGGTGAAGTGAAAAGAGAATGAGCCTAGCAGACATGAGGCTGAATCGAGCCTTTGACGGTTCACTAACTGTCAATCAGAAAATGCACTTCACTCTAGTTTTCTCGTCTGTGCTTGGAGGCAATGAGTAACCACCTCATAGGTGGTAAGGGTTAGATAGGAAAGGACACAGTAGAAGGCCTAGCACACCCATGTACTCAATCAATGTTAGTTCTGGACCTTTCGTTTGAATACTGCTTGAGCTCTGTGCCCAATCTCCCTTTCCTGGATCAAATAAGATTTTTCTTTGTTTGTTAGTAGTTTCTTTCTAGATACTTCCTTGGCCAGAAGTATAGATCCCCTGTCTTTCACTAACTCTTGTTGATCTATGGTTCTCATTCAAGTTTGTGTAGAACACGCAGACATTTCAGTGGCATTGTTTACTCCTGATGAACAGGGAACACTGCGTGTCCAGCAACCAGAACACTGCCTGAGTTATGGGGGATAGTCAGGAAACATGCTGAACCAATGAATGAATGAGCAAATGAATGAATAGCTGATTCTGACTAGTCAACCAAGACTTAGTTAGCACCAATGCTTCTGGATGTTTTATTGCTTCTCAGGGGAGTATGCAATGTGAAAGAAGAATGAAAAAAACGCGCCTCTCAATCGTCAAATATCAGTAGATGCATTGGTTTTATTAACTGATACTTTCTCTTCAAAGGAAAGGCTGATTGAGTCTTGCACAGGCGAAAGAGCCACTGGGTCCCATTGGTTCTCTGTCTCTCCTGCTGCACAAATTACTGACAGAAAGATTTGGGCCTTCATTGTGACCACATCCACAGAGACCATAGTCCAGAGAGAGCATTTGGGGCCTGAATCAACTGCTGGTGTTTGTTGAGCAGAAACAACAAATCTCTGACTTCCCACCAACAGCCAACCTGATTTCAAAGAGCCAAGAAGCATCTCAGATTTGTCAACATTGCTTTAATGAGCTGAGAAACTTTTCATGGTAAACTCAGCAGCTGAGTAACAGGATGATGGCACCACAACAGCTAGAAAATCAAGGCAGGAGGTCAAAGCATTGGAGCCAACACCCACCCAGGACGGGGTATAAAAGGGCTGGGAGGAGAGGAGGCCTCAGTCTCAGTGGCTCAGCCTTCCCAGCTGATCTGAAGCTCCTGTGCAGTCTCAGCCCTACACCATGACCTCCTCCTACAGCAGCTCCTCATGCCCTCTGGTTTGCACCATGGCTCCTGGAGCAAGAAATGTCTCTGTCTCTCCCATCGACGTTGGGTGCCAGCCTGGGGCAGAGGCCAACGTTGCCCCCATGTGCCTTTTGGCCAACGTGGCACATGCCAACCGAGTCCGCGTGGGATCGACTCCCTTGGGCCGCCCCAGCCTCTGTCTGCCCCCCACCTGCCACAATGCTTGTCCCTTGCCAGGGACCTGTCACATTCCCGGCAACATTGGAATCTGTGGGGCCTATGGTGAAAACACCCTGAATGGCCATGAGAAGGAGACCATGCAGTTCCTGAACGACCGCCTGGCCAACTACCTGGAGAAGGTGCGCCAGCTGGAGCGGGAGAACGCGGAGCTGGAGGCCACACTCCTCGAGAGGAGCAAGTGCCACGAGTCCACTGTGTGCCCGGACTACCAGTCCTACTTCCGCACCATCGAGGAGCTCCAGCAGAAGGTGAGGTGTGGGATCAGCTGGGCATGCTGGGTCTGAGAAGGCAGAAGCCTTCGCAGGAGGAATCCACATAAGGTCCAGAGAGCTTTGGGTTCTTGGTTTCTCTTGGGCATGAGTGTAGACACCACACATGGAGTGGGAGCTTAGAGTATGATGCTTTGTGTGTGAACCGTCTTTCCGTTTTCCTCAGATCCTGTGCAGCAAGGCCGAGAATGCCAGGCTGATTGTACAAATTGACAATGCCAAGCTGGCTGCTGATGACTTTAGGATCAAGTAAGTCAGGCCGAGGAGGGCCAATGTGACTTCTCTCCTACTGTATTTCCAAGGGCCTGCCCCATTACTCAGCCTATATTATAGGTGCTCAAAAACAGTTTTTGACTAGAAGAATATTTCTCTCCAAACCTTAAATTAGCCTATTGCTAGAAATGGTCATTATATAGGAGGAAAGAGAATATAAGCATTAAAAGAAAAAGAAGGGCTATCGTCTAGATTGGTTAGAACCTATGTCATTTTCTCCCACATCTAGAAGATAAGAGGATTTTACTTTTCAATCAGAAGTAAAATTGAGTCGTCACAAAAATAAACTGTCAATGCATAGGTTGTTGCTAGACTCACTGACTCTTGGCCAAATCCATCAGCTGGAGGAATTGTCATTGAAGCTCCTTGGTAGCAAGAGTTGGGCTTGAATGAATGGGAAAAGCAGGAAAACAATGAGAAATAACGAACCAAATAGGAAAAGCAGCAAACTGAAGGTCCAGAGTCTTATTTTTAGCCATTCTTTTTTCCTGGCCAAATGACTCCCATTATGGCAGAATAAAGGCTGCATTTGAAGTCAGAACACTTAGGATGAGTCCGTGCATTTACTACTAACCGGGCATAGAATTCTGAAAAACTCATGTTTTGCTTCTGAGCCTCAGTCTTCCATGTAGTCAACAGGCATAATGTCCTGACTACAAACTCTGTAGCTACAGGGTTGAGCATAGTGTATATTGCCCACGTGAACAAATGAGGATCCAAGGTGGTGTGGGAGGTAGGAAGGCAGGGCAGCCAAGGGGGGCTCTTGGGGCATTCTTGTTGACCCTGTACCTCCCGTAACGGAAGGCTGGAGAGTGAGCGCTCCCTACGCCAGCTGGTAGAGGCGGACCAGTGTGGGACGCAGAAGCTCCTGGATGACGCGACCCTGGCCAAGGCTGACCTGGAGGCCCAGCAGGAGTCCCTGAAGGAGGAGCAGCTGTCCCTCAAGAGCAACCATGAGCAGGTGTGGCCCTGGCCGCTCAGACACCCGGGGAAGGCGCTGGGCAGACAGGGGAGCTCCTTGGCCCCGGGGCTCTCAGAGCATTGTCTGGGCTCAGCTGGCATCAGGATGCAGGACTGAGGGGGGTCTGAGGGTCCAGAGGGCCTCTGTGGAAAGTGCAGACTTGCCTTGGGCATGAGGAAGGTATCCAGGTGGGCTCTCCCCACTGCACTCTCAGCAAGACTTTCCCATTTGCTTGTGTGTGGGACTCCCCTCCTACTGTTTGCAGGGGTGGGGTCCTGGTGCTGTCTGCTCCATCAAAGGCCCTCTCCTCATGCAGGCTGTCTGTCTCTTCCTCCTTTCTGCAGGAAGTAAAGATTCTGAGGAGTCAGCTGGGGGAGAAGCTCCGGATCGAGCTGGACATTGAGCCCACCATTGACCTGAACAGGGTGCTGGGGGAGATGCGGGCTCAGTATGAGGCCATGGTGGAGACCAACCGCCAGGATTTAGAACAGTGGTTCCAAGCCCAGGTGAATGGGGGGAGTACAGAGCTGGGGAGTACCTGGCCTCCATCTGGGCAGGGAGGTGACTATGTCTCTCTGTGCTCTAGTCTGAAGGCATCAGCCTGCAGGCCATGTCCTGCTCCGAGGAGCTGCAGTGCTGCCAGTCGGAGATCCTGGAGCTGAGATGCACAGTGAATGCCCTGGAGGTGGAGCGCCAAGCCCAGCACACCTTGGTATGTGTCCTTCACCCTCACTGCACTGCAAATGCCCCGTGCCATGGCCTAGTAGCCTTTTATTTTGGAGGTCTCACCACCCAGGTTTCTCCCACCTGTTATCACCATCAAAATTTGGGGCATGTAGCAGTTTCCCTGGGGGCCTTGCACATTTTATCCCCTTATTTCCCACTACAGAAGGACTGTCTGCAGAACTCCCTGTGTGAAGCTGAGGACCGCTTCGGCACGGAGCTGGCCCAGATGCAGAGCCTCATCAGCAACATGGAGGAGCAGCTGTCCGAGATCCGGGCTGACCTGGAGCGGCAGAACCAGGAGTACCAGGTGCTGCTGGACGTGAAGGCCCGGCTAGAGAATGAGATTGCCACGTACCGGAACCTTCTGGAGAGCGAGGACTGCAAGTACGTGTAATCTGGGCAATTCCTAAACCACACACATGACTGTCAGGCAATTCCTTAGAGGTGATGGAAGTGCTTGCAGAAGATACCATCTTAATAAACAAGCCTTCCTGTGCTTTCCTGCTCAGTGACTCATTAACCTCTCCTGGTCTGTGCAGACTGGATTATTGAGAAAATGTTCTCTAGATGGTAGCCAGATCCCTAAACCAAGTCTTCCCTAAGGACTCCTGGATGTGGAAAGACACAGATGAAAGAACTGTTGGTATAGATTCTCTGGTCTGTGTGCCTTGTTGGTGGCAGGCCCAGCCTTCACCTGGTCTTACCCTTGTCCATCAATCACTGAAACATCTTTTTAATGTAACTCTTCTTCTTTCTCTCCCTGCAGACTCCCCTGCAATCCCTGCTCCACGCCTGCCTCCTGTACTTCTTGTCCAAGCTGTGGCCCTGTCACCGGTGGGTCTGCCTCTGGCCATGGAGCCAGCATGGGGAGATGATTCTGAAGGCCCGAAGTTCCTGTGCAGGAGGTTGAGGCTGGTTGTACTGGGGTCAGGAGTGCCTTCACCTTGCTCAGTCTTCCTTCCAGAAAGACCAGACTCACTGAGGCATTTTCCCTAAATCAACGGGTAGCAGACACTTCCAAGGAGTGTCTCCCTGCCTATGCCTCTAAGCTGTATTTTTTGTTGTTGCTGAAATGTTGTAATTATCTTCCATGAAAGTGATTCTTTTTCCCAGTGTCTCTTCTTGGTCCTTTCGGTTCTATTCCAGTGTTTCAGAATCTCCTAAAATGTCACTGGGTTCCCTGCATTAAATGGTCAATAAACCTCTTTCCTGCACCAAGTGTTGTCCCCCTGGTGTTGGTTGTATGTGAAGTGTCAGAGAGTCCTGGTCGTCAGGTCCTGTGTCCTCACTGGCCCTGACATCTTGCTTCCAGGAGCTCCCTGCGGTGCTCTGGGGCCTCTGGATGAAGGTCCTTTCCTGACATTGGATGTGTATTCACCTTGCCCAGGGATCCCTACAGACTGGTGGAAGGAAGTGATGCTAGTTGCCAAGTTTGAATTCTTTCAAAACAACTCAGAGCTAACATGTCCCTACCATGATTTTGGCATCTTCAGCCTCTTGGTATTTTGTCCAAGAGCAAAATCACATCACTTAGTGTTCTAATCTTGTCAAAGGAAGGTCGTGTTGAGAATTGCCTGGGCCAAGTTGCCAAGTTTTTCCTCTCACTCCAGTTGGCCCCTTTCACGGAGCCATGGAGTTCCCGCCCACTCTCCCAAATGTAGAGGCCCAGACTGGGCACTGGAGACTGGGGTCTTGGTCCTGGGTCACTTCCAGGCTGTAGTTTTCTCTAGAGAGACGCTGCCACTGATGTGTCTGCTGTCTATTCTGCTGCTGTCTTGGAGGTGCTGGCGGTGAGGGCTGCTGCTGCCATTAGAGCACTCCAAGTCCCTGCCTGCCTCTCGGATGTGGCTCTGGCACAGGCCAAGGTGGTTCACAGCCAGACGCGGTTATGAACAGGTGGAGGAGCAGCCCGGAGAGGCTGCTGCCTCCCACGCCATGCTAGTCAGTTTACGGCAAGCACCAAGTATGTCCAGAAGAATGAAACTCTTGTGTCTCAGGTCATCCATGTGCCCTGGTGCAAAGAGCAATGAAAAACTGGTCCTTCTTCGTGGTAGCATAGTGTGGTGGAGGTGGATCTTCTCTAGGGTCAGGGAAACTTGGATTCAAATCCCACCTTCATGACTCTGAAGTGAGATTTGAACTCACTTTGCTGAGTGAAGTCGGCCAGGTCGCTGCACTCTCTTGAGACCTATTCCTCGTTTGTGGAAGTAGGATAGTTGTATTTACCGCTCATTGTGGTTGACGGGTAATGCATCTAATGTTCCTGGCATCTAGAAGGTGTTCAGTGGATGTTGGTTTATTGAGGCTCCCTGGGAACCAGCAGGTACAGTCTCTTCCTCCCAGAGAGAAAAAGGAGCTGAAGAGATAGTAGCAGAACCCACTCTCAGCATCGGGGCCCTAGATTTCTATGTTGGTGGCTGGGAAGTTTGGTCATACTCCTTGTTCATGTATATGTGGTAATAAAAGTCACCTTCTGTAGTCGTGAGGCCTGTTTCTCACTCCAAGTAGCCTAACTGAATCCAAAAAAGCATTCACTGGGCTGTCAGAGGACAAGACTGTTTGGTGGGCTCTTGTGGGCTCTTCTAACGAGTAACCCACAAGAGTCATGTTTTAAGAAACGGCTGTGACCCTCCCTGACCCTCAGTGTGATGGGGTTGTGGAGATCCGGCCTGTCCCCACCTTTCTTGGCCAGGTCACACCCTTGACAAGCTCTACCTGTTAGGTACCATGGCTAGGTGTGGCAGGAGGTGCCACTCAGGTACACAGAAAATGAAGGTTAGAGGCTGGCAGGTGGGTTACCAGCCCGGTCAGGACACCTGGACCCTGGGGGTTTTACTCACATTCATTATCCTAGCCTGAGAGCTCAGGGCTCCCTCTGGTACCAATGCCAGACATCTCTTCTTGCAAGTGATTCTCCCGACTGGACATTCTATGCCTCTCTGCCTCACGTACTCTCACCAATTGGATGGATATAGCCCTGAATGTGGCCCAATAGGCTTTGCTTTGGCCACAATAATTGCAACCAGGTGTCTCTTATTTTCCTTCCCCTGAGGCTTCTGCTTCCTTGGTTGGGGGCCACATCTGGTTCTGAGCCACCTAGTGCTGAGCCCGTCTATCTTCAGTTCACCAATCCTGCACTGCCTGGGGGCTGACTAGGGGCTGATGTGTGATATTTCTTCCCAGCCTTCTCGTGGTTAACACCAATTGGGGCTTACACCAATTGCCATTTCTCACAAATTTCAGCAAAGTGGAAAGGAGAAAGGGTGAACAGCTGCAGGCCACTGGGGTGGACACTGCAGTCACTGAGAGAGCTCTGGGGAAGGGCACATTCCTGCCCCCACCACTGTCTACACTGGGAAGCCAAGAAGATCAAAGTGAATTTCTGGACTTTCCTGAACAGGAACATTTTTTATTTGTATAGTTTTTTTGTAGACGATGATATATGATACTAGTCAGGTCTCTGAGCCCAAGCCAAGCCATTGCATCCCCTGTGACTTGCACATATAAGCCCAGGTGGCCTGAAGTAACCGAAGAATCACAAAAGAAGTGCAAATGCCCTGCCTCGCCTTAACCAATGACATGCCACCACAAAAGAAGTGAAAATGGCCGGTCCTTGCCTTAACTGATGATATTATCTTGTGAAATTCCTTTTCCTGGCTCTTCCTGGCTCAGAAAGCTCCCCCACTGAGCACCTTGTGACCCCCACTCCTGCCCGCCAGAGAACAACCCCCCTTTGACTGTAATTTTCCTTTACCTACCCAAATCCTATAAAATGGCCCCACACTTATCTCCCTTTGCTGACTCTCTTTTCGGACTCAGCCCGCCTGCACCCAGGTGAAATAAACAGCCATGTTGCTCACACAAAGCCTGTTTGGTGGTCTCTTCACACGGACGTGCATGACAATACCTAAGGCTGATGGTGTGTGCCCCATCTTCTTGTCCTTCCTCTCAGCATCTTCTCTTTGTCTTCCTGACCAAGAACGAAATCAATTTCACTGTTCTCATGGCCACTAATAATCTTCATGAGCTCAGCTTGGTGAACCATTTTTAATTTATCTTTTTCTTCCTAATTCAGTGTTTCATAACCATGCCTTCCCACTTAATGAATATAAAGAGAACTTGCCTTCTCACTTAATGTTTTAACTTTCAAAAACGTAAATACCAAACTCGTATCATGACTAAAAGACAGCTCATTTCGAATACAGGTTATGCTTGTTTTCAAATGACACTTCCTCTAACTAAAATAGCTTCCCTGACATCTGTTTTAGAGATTCCAAACATTGCATCCCCACTGGGGGTTGGGGGTGATACACAGACTCTCCCAGTTAGAATCACTGTTCCTATTCAGGTACGAGCCCCTGGGCTAAGCCTACCTGCTTTACCTGCCTGCCAGGTGTAAATATGTTTTAGCATCTGAGGAGGAGCATTTCTCAGTGACCCAGGACCCCCTAGAGGCCAGTCCCAGGTAGCTACATGTCACACTTGTCCTCTCCAAACCTGAATGCAGCTTCTCCCGCTCCAGCCAGCTCTTTCCTTTGACTTCTTAGCTTCCTTGAAGCACACAATTGTCCTAGGAACTTGGGGGTGACCTTGGGGCCACTTTTGGCTTCTCTTCCTCCTTTGACCCCATGTACAGTAAGTCGCCCTGTCTTGTGAGTCCTTTTGCAGCATCTATGTCCTCTGTGCCTTCCTTTCCATCAGCACTGCTGGTGGCTGGTTTTGGCATCCATCACATCCTGCCTGGATTCTTGGAAGAGCCCCCTCCTGCCCTCTCTCTTCTGTGCCGGATTTGTTCTGCACACACCACCAGCTCATCACTCTTTTGTGTTCTATTTATTGAGTAAATACTATGTACAAGACACTGTATTACGTGCTGGAGGGCACACGAAATGGAGACTGAGTGTTCCCACTCTAGGGTGCACACTGGGCATGTAAAAAAAAAATGGGGCCGGGTGCAGTGGCTCATGCCTGTAATCCCAGCACTTTGGGAGGCCGAGGCGGGTGGATCACCTGAGGTCAGGAGTTTGAGACCAGCCTGACTAACATGGTGAAACTTCGTCTCTACTAAAAATAAAAAATCAGCCGAGCATGGTGGCGCATGCCTATAATCCCAGCTATGTCAGAGGCTGAGGCAGGAGAATCACTTGAACCCAGGAGGTGGAGGTTGTAGTGAGCCGAGATCGCGCCAGTGCACTCCAGCCTGGGCGACTGAGTGATACTCCATCTAAAAACAAAACAAAACAAAACAAACAAACAAACAAAGAAAATGAAATGTCAGGGCTTTCTAAATTTATTATGCCAAGGTGAAAATTAAGCCTGGGAAACTGGGTCATGCCATATAGCTGTTTTTCTTCTCTCCTGCAAGGACTGTTGCTTCCTGACTTGTGCGTTGACATGTTGCACAGTAACCAGACTCCCTTGTCTATATTCAAACCTGGAGTAAATGACATTGGAGAAGGAGGCCCTTGTGACTGCTGCCTCTTTACAACAGAATGTTAAGCATCCCCACGAGAGTGTAATCAACAGCAGTCAATCAGATCTTACGTCTGTACATTAGCCTTTGTATGGAAAACGTTGTAATTCTGTTCGGCACCTCTATTTCTGCCTATATAAAAGATCTTCACTTTCCCCCCGCACTGGGAGTACTGATTGCCATTGTTCGGTGTTCGTGTGTCCCCAGAAGACGGCTCTCACGTGCCATGCTTGCAACAACTCTTTTAACCAGATCCTGAGCCTTTTGATTATTTTAGGTTGACAAGCACTGGATTAATCTTCTAAAATTTCTCCTTTCTCTCTTTCATCTGCTGGAAACCTCCGGAGGACTCTGTTCTGTCTCTAGCTCTTTAGGTGAGTTGTGTGGTCCAGAGCGGGAACCTCATGGCTATTTGTTGAATAAATACAGCTGGACAGCTGGCGTCTAGGAGTGTTGGCCTGCGGTTCAGTCCAGTCTCCACTATCTGCCCCTTTCTGGGTCACTGGGCAGAGCAGAAAGCACTTGGACTTCAGGCTCAGGCAGACCTGGCCTGACATTTCAAGGCCCATACTTTCATTCCAACTTTGTGAGCTCTGATAACTTCCCTAACTGCTCTGAGCTTTGTTTTCTTCACTCTACAGTGGGATACTTGTAACTGCTTTGTAGTGTGGTTATAAGGATGAAAAGACACAACGATATGGGAAGCACATAGTATAATATTTGGTGGCACATAGTAAGTGGTCAAATAACACGATAGGTGGTCAAATAACATAGTAGGTGGCACATAGTAGGTGTCTATCTAATTTGGGCATATATATTTGTGTGTGTGTGTGAGAATTAAGTAAAATATTGTATACCAAGTGCCAAGCTTGGTTCTCTGCACATAATAGATGTTAATAAATATTACTTCATGTGACCTTTCTCTGTCCTCTACAAACATTGTTTTTCACATGGACTGGCCTCTTCCCCACAGGCATAAGCAACACAGTGTTCATATTTTCCTTCTTGTCTCTCCTCTCTCCTTCATCCTAGATATCCTCCTAAAACAAACCTCCGCAAAGAAGGGCGAACTAGGAAAACAAACAGAACTTGCTTGTTACATTGGAGAAAACTGCATGCTAACTGATTTGAAGTACAGTAATCCAAACACGGGCTCCTCTTGAATTCATCAAATCCTGTTTGTGACCTGGTGCTTCATTTACCTAGGATAAAGTCACCACAAAGGTTGTCTATTGCTATGGAGCGGTGGTTCCGTCTTCCAAGGGTGGTCCCCAGACGAGCAGCATCAGTGTCACATGGGAACTTGTTAGAAATGCAGACTCCCCGGCCTGACCCCAGGCCACTTGAATCAGAAACTATGGGGTGGGGCCTGGAAATCTGCATTTTTGCAAGCCCTCTGGGGGTTGCTGGTTAAAGTTTGACAACCGCTGGTGGAGATGTTACGAAAATAGAAGCAGACAATATTTTTAGCATAGAGGTGTACAAACTTCAGTCTTACAGGTTTTAGAAATGCAATTTGGCTCTTTGGGTTGATGTTTTGTGTCATTCAAACTCATTTCTTTGGGGATCCAGCACTTGGGACAGGCCTGTTGGGTTGGCTGTTGCATTTCTGAAGTTGTACCCAGTTCTCCTGAGCCCACTTCTGTTTCTGAGTGTTTTCTTATGTTTATCCTCTTTTTTTTTGTCACCCAGTCTGGAGTGCAGTGGCGCGATCTCGGTTCACTCCAACCTCCGCCTCCCGGGTTCAAGCAATTCTCCTGCCTCAGCCTCCCGAGTAGCTGGGACTACAGGCGCCCGCCACCACACCCAGCTAATTTTTGTATTTTTAGTAGAGATGGGGTTTCACCATGTTGGCCAGGATGGTCTCAATCTCTTGATCTCATGATCCGCTCGCCTCAGCTTCCCAAAGTGCTAGGATTACAGGCACGAGCCACCTTGCCTGGCCTGTTCATCCTCTTTTTCTGGAAAACTGTCTCCCACTTTCCTGCCTATCCAAGTCTTCCCAATCTTAAGTTCCAGACAAAGTCTCTTTGATGGCCCCTCTATATCTCTAAGGCCCAGTCACTTACCCCTCCACTGAGTTACGTGACCTCTTTTTCTGCTCTCAACTTTTTGAGGGTGGAAATTTCTCCTTTTCATCTCTGCATTCCCCATCCCCTTGAGAAGGGCTTTGGTATAACAGGAGTTCAGGAATATTAGACACTTAGAGTAAGTCACCAGGACAAGGTAAGCCATGCCTTGGAGAATATCACCCACATCTGTATAGAGTTACAGGGAAGGGTCCCCATGGGTCTCATTGACTGTATATGGGACCAAGTGGTGGCTGGCTGGTTGTCATGGCTGAACAGCCAGTGGGACCAGCATGGTTTATACCAAAGTCCTGGGCAAGAAGGTTTTCTGGTCATCTACTGGCAGCCTTTCAATCTAAACTCATCAGAAATCCCACTGTACAGCCCCCACTTAAGAGTGATAGGAGCTGTTACATCACGGAGCGTGTCCAGAGGAATATTCCTGGGATGGCAAGGGGATTTAGAACCATGCTGAATGCAGAACCATGAGTGAGAAATCTCACATTTGCCACAAAGAACTGAGAATGTGGCAGAATGATTAGATTTATCCTGTATGGGACACCATGGGGAGAACTGGAGAGTAAATGAACTACAGGGCCAACCCTCTGACTTACTTGGCAATGTATTGCCAGCCTCTGGCTCAGTCCCTGGCTGGCACAGAGTAGGTACTCAATAAATGTTTGTTGAATGAACGAATGAATGAATGACCCAAAGAAAGCTATAGGGAGAGGTAACACAAAGATTTGTGAAGACTTTCTAACAATTCTCTATAATGTGAGTGCCTTAAGGCTGAGCTAGCTGCTGTTAATTTTCTGGATACCAGTGTCTTGCACAAAGCGTGGGAAGCTGCTTGTAAGCCACAGGAACTGATGGTGTGAGCTCTCCTGGAAAATGGTGGACTGGATGACTAGTTAGAGGAAGGCCATTAAAGGGGATTTAATGCAAACGGGTACTAGACTAGAGGATCCTGAAGTCCCTTTCGTCCTAGAGATGCTATGTTTTAGGGCCGGCTGAAACATAACACTTGCTGCTTCAAGGGCCCTCGTGGTGAATTCATTCATCTTAGGAATGGGGTCAGAGTAGCATCTTTGTTAGCATAGACTGGAAGCTGGCTAGCTGCCCTTTTCCAGGGTTTATTGAACAAATGGTCACTGGCTTGTTTTAGAAATAAGGGAGGCCATAAAGCTTCTGATGCTCTGAGTGTGTCTGAAGATTAAGGAAATTTAAATTTTGTTCTAGAGTCTCCCAAGCAATGGACGATCAAGGTAGGTGCATTTCAAAGAAATGCAAAAATATTTCAAAAGATGAAAGATCAAAGTTCTTGAGTATGTATCTTCTGTAAACAAGGGTGATGAGGGACTCAATCTGGTGAGAGGGTCAATAGAAAGGAAAGAGGCCTGGGAAGGTGGGTGAGGCCCTGAGAACAGACACCATAAAGTGTTAATCACTGCCTGCCTTAATTAGCCTGTAGACTCCAGTACACAGAAGCATAATTTTATTTCCTGAAAATTGCAAACCATCAGTTTTATTATGAGCCTTTTTTTCTCACTCCCCAAACTGCTTATCTGTTTCACGTATGCACAGGGAAAGTCTTAATTGCTAACATCTGTTTATAGGTTGTGTATTGATTTTTATTCAGTTGAAAATACTTAAAATTTTTTTATTTGATTTCTTCTTTAACCCAAGGAGTATTAAAAAGTGTGTTAGTTTTCAAACACCAAGATCAATTTGGAACTTAGGCTTCACTTTCAGTTTTCTAACAATTTGTATGAAGGAACTTTCCACCTTTTTTCTGCTACTTTCCTTCAAAAGGAACCTGGCTATTTATTTTTCCTTATACTTGAAAGTCATCTTCCAGGGCAGATCCCTACCTTTCACTCACCTTTACCTCAAGACCATGGTCCTGGCATTCAAGGCTTTTCATAACCTGGGCTCAGTGCAACTTTCCAGGGCTCCATTATAAACACCAACACAACTAGACTATTTTCCATTTTCCAAATGTTTGATTGTGTTTATTTTGTTCTCTCTGAGAGAAACTCACTCCCCAACGCTTTATGGAAAATATCATTCAATACAAATTTGGAAAACCCCCTACTCCATGAAGTCTTTTTCTGGTCTCTCAGTCAGCTCTCTTCCACCTCAAAATCTTTGCAGCTCTCTTTTTAAAAAAATACCTCCTTTTACTGTCTTCTTAATATCAAGATCATTTACTTTCTTATCTCTCTTATTGAAATCTAAAATCCCCTTCTTACAAGACAACCTAGATGTGTGTTTGTCCCACACTAGGCACTCTATAAATATCTACCAAAACAAATAAATCATGATTTTTCCCTTTCTGCAATGTGCCTGATTGACTGATATTTTAGGTTTTGCTGCAGTGGGAACAGTCAGAGGTAGGAAAAGAATGTGGGAGTGTGAGAGACTTGCAGGAAATTTTAGGAGTCTTTAGTTCTTGATTATTTCATACACATAAGCTGACAGAAGGGGAAAGATTCCACAGCCACAGAAAGTGGGCTGCTTGAAGAAGACCTTGTTTTCTCTGTTTTCCAGGACCCTGCAGTGATGGGAAGCAAGAGGTTAGGGCCTCTTTCATGAGCTCATTAACTCTTTATAGGAAACAAAAACCACTGACTAATAGAGTGATTGTATAACAATTGACATAAATATTAATGAGGAAAATGCCAGTTTTCTTGCACCAACACCCACTAAGGCTTATATAAAGTCTTCAGGAGGAGGAAGATTTTGGTTTCAAGCAGATCCAACTGTGGGCAAAGCAGGATCTCGCCTTTTAGCACTATGACTTCTGACCATTGCAGTTCCCTCCCCAGCGAGCAGGTTTCAGAGGCCAACGCTGCCTCCCTGTGCCTCTTGGCTAACGTGGCACATGCCAACCGAGTCCGTGTGGGGCCGACTCCCCTGGGCCGCCCCAGCCTCTGTCTGCCTCCGACCTGCCACAATGCTTGTCCCTTGCCAGGGAGCCGCCACATTCCTGGCAACATTGGAATCTGTGGGGCCTACAGCGAAAACACCCTGAATGGCCACGAGAAGGAGACTATGCAGTTCCTGAACGACCGCCTGGCCAACTACCTGGAGAAAGTGCGCCAGCTGGAGCGGGACAATGCAGAACTGGAGACCAAACTCCGTGAGAGGAGCAAGTGCCATGAGTCCAGTGTGTGCCCGGACTACCAGTCCTACTTCTGCACCATCCAGGAGCTCCAGCAGAAGGTGAGGTTTGCAGTGCACCAGATCAGGGTTCAGGAATCTACTTACTGCCTGTCGGCCAAATCCGGCCAACCACCTGCTTTTGCAAATAAAGTTTTATTGGTTCATGGCCATGCTCATGCATTTGTGTGTTGTCTGCAGCTGCTTTTGTACTACAGTGGCAGAGTTCAGTCATTGTAATGGAGACTGTATGGTCTGCAAAGCCTAAAATATTTACTATCTGACCCTTTACAAAAAAAGATTACTGACCCTGGGTCAGCAGTGGATTTTTTAAATGTGGGAAGAGAATCTCTTGAGTGAAGGTGAATGGGAATTTGTAAAGGGTGAGATGTGGAATTTATCTCTCCAGGATTCTGAGTTCATGCTTACTTAACTTCAGCACATCAAATCCCTAAATCATAGTCACAAAAACCATGCTAATTTCATGAAAACCATGCAAAAACTGTGCTGTGTTTATGACAGTTGCTATATGCTGAAACTTCCGGTGCAGTAAACAGGGCAAAAGGAGTATTTCCTAACATCCTTGCCAAGGCAGTGTCTATCCACACAACAGCATCAGCATCTTATGCATATCTGTTGTCACCTTTGATTATCCAGCTAAAGCTTCTGAAGAGCCTACATCTTAGTTTCAGAGCCAGGAAGACAAGGAATGTCAAAATAGGGGTTACAGAAACCTGGCTAGATTTAGAGAAGACCTGTGGGGAGGTTGGACAACCAGAGGAAAGAACTTCTTTAGAACAGATCCTACTTTATCTAAAACATTCATAGTTAGTCCACTGTTCTGTGGCCTAGATTCTGGATTTTTTTTTGTTTGTTTGTTTTTGAGACAGCGTCTCACTCTGTCACCCAGGCTGGAGTGCAGTGGTGCAATCTCAGCTCACTGCGACCTCTGCCTCCCGGGTTCAAGTGATTCTCGTGTATCAGCTTACTGAGTAGCTGGGGTTAAAAGCGTGCACCACCACTCCTAGCTAACTTTTGTATTTTTAGTAGAGATGGAGTTTCACCATATTGGCCAGGCTGGTCTCGAACTCCTGACCTCAGGTGATCCACCTGCCTTGGCCTCCCAAAGTGCTGGGATTACAGCCGTGAGCCACTGCGCCTGGCCAGATCTTCTTATTTATATTGGGCTACGCATCCTATCTGGCAAAATGAAAGCAAATCTTTGTTATATGTTCAGTTTGCTACTGTCTTCCATCTCCTGGTTCCTTTGACTCTATGTCTTCATCCTTTTCCAAGAAGTCTCTTGCAAATCTTTCTTCCCACACCACGAAAACATCTCTTGCATGTTTGGGAGTTTGTGTTGTCCAGGCGGATGCTGTAGGTTCAACTTCAGCCAATAAAACTTCCTCTCACCTGAGGCTATAGGCGTCTCTGGGATCAGTAAGTCACTTATTGAACCTATTTTCTTATCCCAGATTCTGTGCACCAAATCGGAGAACAATAGGCTGGTTGTGCAAATAGACAATGCCAAACTGGCCGCGGATGACTTCAGGACCAAGTGAGTTGGGATTGGACGGGGATGGGAAGGAGCCAAGTGAGTTGGGGTTGGATGGGGATGGGACAATGCCAAGTTGGCTGCTTCTGTCTCTTGTGGCATCGGATGTCATTGACCCAGACCCCAACCCAGTAGGAGAGAACAAAAGGCATTAAGCTCAAGATCCTGAAAAACTATCCACTCTCCAGTGGTTTAGCATTAACAGTTTACAACATGTGCTAGAATGCATCATCCACCTGGTAAGAAACTTGTGAAGCAGGGGGGCAGGGATAGCATCTCCTCTGCAGGTGGGGACCCTTGAGGCTGGGGGTGCTGGTGTGACTTGCCAAAAACCATGTGGGTACTGAGTGGCAGAGCTAGGACTTGGCCTTAAATTTTGTACCAAATTTTCCTTTCTTGAGGCAATTTCCTGAGAAACTGTTGCTTTAATAAGGATATGTTTCTGTGCTACAGCTTGATTAATTTGTGAGTGCTGATAATTCATAGCAGAAATCATGCTCCATAGCCTAAGACAAAAACATGTGAAAGTCAAAGGGTTGACACCACCTAAGGAGGGTCTACCCTGGGTGCTGGAAGGGGCACAAAAACATGTGAAAGTCAAAGGGTTGACACCACCTAAGGAGGGTCTACCCTGGGTGCTGGAAGGGGCACTGGGTTTTATCATCTTTCTTCAGGGCACTGTGCAAGTCTCACTCTTCTAGAGCTAAAGAAAGCCATTTCCTTCCTCTCATTCTGGCAATGTGGCTTTTACTCTAAGAGGGAATCCAGAATCCCTTTGAGTATGGGGCTTGTGGAGAGAGGTCTGCAGTGATTCCACCGTGTTGCAAAGACTTGGTTACTTTGCCACCTCCCTTTTGGGCCATCTGTCTGTAAAGGCAGGTGCTGGCTGTGTGTCCATCACAGTATCCTCAGTACCAGCTGCTCCCCCTGGTTCATCTCAGGTGCTTAGTATTGACTGAGTGGGGAATATCCTGTTGCTTTCTGGGCTTTGAGCACACTACACAGGAAAAGCCAACTCACAATTAGACGGCAAAGGGCAGAACAGTGGACTTACAGCTGCGAGCTGGGAGTCATGTCCTGGTGCCCCTTCCTGCTCTGTAACTGTGACTCCTGCACTTTCCCTGTTACAGGTATGAGACAGAGCGCTTGCTGCACCAGCTGGTGGAGGCTGACATCTGTGGCCTGCGCAGGGTGCTGGACAACCTCACCCTCGCCAAGTGTGACCTGGAGGCCCAGCTGGAGTCCCTGAAGGAAGAGCTGCTTTGCCTCAAGAAAAACCATGAGCAGGTGTGTGACCCTTGGTGTGATGCATTGAGACTTTCTGGAGGTGAATTCAGGCTCATCTGGGGGAAAAAATGGAGGCTTCCTTCTGCCTGGGATTGAAGCTTTGCAGGTGAGCTCTGGCTTTTGGTGGGAGATTGCTTCTCGTCCACAGCTTCTGGAAGCTGCTGGGCTGGTGCAGGCAGCGGTTTATCGTCAGAGGAGCACAGGGAAATTACTGGGGAGGATGGAAAGTGGGAGTTGAGAGTTTGGGTGAAGGGCAGTGGGGGGCTCTGCAGGCGGGTCATACTCCTCTGATGCCTACAGGAAGCCCACACTCTGAGGGGTCAGCTGGGAGACAAGCTCCGGATTGAGCTGGACATTGAGCCCACCATTGACCTGAGTAGGGTGCTGGGGGAGATGCGAGGCCAGTATGAGGCCATGGTGGAGACCAACCGCCAGGATGTGGAGCAGTGGTTCCAAGCCCAGGTGAGGGGGACTGCTAAGCAGTGGGGATTGGCCTCCATCTGGGCAGGTAGGTGACCGTGTCTCTCCGTGCTCCAGTCTGAAGGCATCAGCCTGCAGGCCATGTCCTGCTCCGAGGAGCTGCAGTGCTGCCAGTCGGAGATCCTGGAGTTGAGACGCTCGGTGAACGCCCTGGAGGTGGAGCTTCAGGCTCAGCACACGCTGGTAAGTCCCTCTGTATGCATGGGAGACCCAGCTTGGCTCTCACTACCCATGAGCAGCTCTCTAGGGTCAGTACAGGCCTCAAACACCAACCACGGACTCAGCTTAAACCTTGGTTTCATCTGTTTTTTAAGCACTTCCCTGTAGATGTGGATATTGAGTGAATCAACATTAACTCAGGTCAGAGGGCTCTGATCTTAAAGGTCTACCATGAAGAGTGTTAGTTATTCTGGCTGAGGACAGCTAAAGGGAGTTAGATTGCCCTCTGGACCTGGCAATGTCTTGGGGTGTCACAATCTTAAGAGGTTGGAGGCAGAGATCCATGATTTTTAACTTGTTTCCTTCTTTCTTTGATATTATAGAAGGACTGTCTACAGAACTCCCTGTGTGAAGCTGAGGACCGCTACGGCACAGAACTGGCCCAGATGCAGAGCCTCATCAACAATGTGGAGGAACAGCTGTCTGAGATCCGGGCCGACCTGGAGCGGCAGAACCAGGAGTACCAGGTGCTGCTGGACGTGAAGGCCCGGCTGGAGAATGAGATTGCCACGTACCGGAACCTTCTGGAGAGCGAGGACTGCAAGTATGTGCCCTGTTGTTGTCTATGTCAACACCGTGTGCAAAAACAGATAACTTCTCTTGGGAATGACCTAAAAGGAGCTCTGGAGGCCTGGTGGGGGTAGCATTGCAGATCCCATCTTTGGAGACAAACTTGCTACCAGTAGGCCTGGTGAGCGAATGCCTGCCTAGACGTAGATGAGGGTGTTCGGGAGTTTTCAGGTCACGGCATTTGTTTTGCTGACCATGTTGTGCTCCCGGTTGCCGGCTACTCCCATAGGGGGCTAAAATACTGAGTGCCCAGCACATTCAGGTTTTGCTAAATTCTCTCTAGGAGAAGTATTCCAGTAACGAGTATTCTTTGTGCTGATAGCATTTAAAGTATTGCTAAGGGCATGTGCACTTACTCTTTCATTTTAGTTCCCTGTGAAAAGGGTCAGAGGGCTGATATACCCCTTTAAGCACTAAGGAACACTATGAGGGGCTGGGTTTAAATGGAATCAGTGGCTGACATCTGGGCAGTTCTTCTTCCTCTGGCCTTTCTACCTTTCTGCTGTGTTCCTTCCACGTGGGACGTGGCCCTGGCCTGGTACACAGGTACACTGAGTTCTGGCCCCAGCTCCACCGTGGACTATGGGCACGTCATTGCCCCTTTCAGGCTTAGAGGGACCTCTAAGGTCTAAAGTCCTCTTTCGCTCTTTAATTCTAACGTGTCTATAATATACTTTTGTCTTTCACATACTTTTCATGCCAATGTTTCAAATATCTTTTTTCTCTATGCAGATTTCCCTGCAACCCATGCGCGACCCCAGCCTTCAGCACTCCCAGTCCAGCCCCAGCAGCCTGTGCCCCCTGCTCCCGGGCCACCCATGGGCTCTGCTCATCAACTGGATACTGACACACTCCTCAGCCCAAGGTGCTGGGAAAGGGGAGGTGTCTTCAGCTCGTTAGGCTCTGCTCTGCAGGCCTGCTACCTGGGCCTTGCCTCCTTGGCCAGCCAGGCAGGAGACTGAAGAGAGACAATGCCACTCTGTGGATAGGTGTTTGAGTCCAGCAGCTCAGCCCCTGTGACTGAATTTGTGTTTCTTCCCCTCAAGGTGTCTCGAGTGCACCATTTTCTCTCTTCTGTTGCCTCCTGATCTCTGAGATGGGGCAGGCACCCTTGTTTTTATTTTGCTATTAAACTTTGCTTCTGTAGCAGAATGAGCCCAGCGCAGTCTGGCCTCAGCATCTCCATCCCATGCTGAGAGCCTTTCTGGGAACTCCTTGAGCCACATGCTTCTGTAGACGGGGGCTGTGGCTGGTTCACCAGAGTGGTTCTGGGAGATGGCAAAGCCAGTGAAGGCTGGAGTTAAAAATGGGACGCAGCAAAGTGGTACAGAGGAGAGATACCCAACCTTGGACTTCACCGAGTGTATTTGGAGACAGATTTACAGATAGAACTTTTAAAATATAGACGCTAAGTAAAATTTCCCTTTTATCTGGATAAGCCACCTGGTCCTTGTGTAAAGGAAGAGCTCAAGCCTGCGGCACCACAGACCGCTGCAAAACTCTGAAAATATTAAGTGATGGTAACTGCTATCAGTCTAGAAAGACCCAAACAACCTGACCCATCCAAGCTCCCCAGTAAGCCCCACTGGTGGGTCCTGGCAGCTGTCTGGCTTGGAATTTGTAGACAATAGAACATGAACCAGAAGCCCCAGGACAGGTAACTTAAATTGAGCTTTTAGAATGACATGCCCATTATGAGCAAGGCACTGGCTGGGGCTTCGCCAACATTGTGTCACAGGGCCCCACATCAGCCCTGCAAAGCAGCAGCAGCTGTTATTATTCTCAGCTGGTGGCTGAGTCAAGACTTGAAACCCAGTCTCTTTGAACCAGATCCAAAGCCCGTTCTTTGGAAGCTTTGAGGGGGAAACAAATTAAACATGAGAAGGTTTAGGGCAGTGGTTCTTAAAGCGTGGTCCTCCAGCCGGTAGCACTGGCATTACCTGAGAACTTGCTAGACATGCACATTCTTGAGCACCAGCCCTGATTTTCTGAACCAGCAGTCTGCTTTATCATGACTTGCAGGTGATTCTGATGTTGGTTCAAGTTCGAGAACCACTGGTTTAGGGGGTTTATTTGAGGAGTGAGCCCTTGACTAGCCAGATCCTCTACAGAAAGAGCTGACCTTGCCCTCCTGATATGTCCTCCAGCGAGGAATCATTCATACCATCAGATCAGGATAGAACCTTTCTCTTTTACATTGCAAGACTCTGAAAATGTTAAATGATGGTTATTTCTATCAGTCTAGGACGAAAGGCCCAAACAAGCTGACCCATCCAACCTCCCCAATAACTCCCGTTGGTGAGTCCTTCTGGAAACTGCTCAGCTTGGAATTCGTAGACAATAGAACATGAATCAAAAGCTCCATATTTTGATATCCATGGCTGAGAATCAGCACATCCCTAGAATTCAGCGTTACAGCTGGCCAGAGAAGCAGAGTTCCCCATCCTTGGAGACAAGCAGAGGCTTCAGAATCACTGGTGGGGATGTTGAGGGGAACACTTAGGGAACTGATGGGGCTGGTTGAGATGGCTGTAAGAGGTCTTCTAGCCCCCACAACTCTGTGTATCCCTGCTTTATAAGTCTTATTGATCAGTGAATCCACAAGCATTGAAGTGGAATCACCAAACCTACTTTAGGAGCTGGTTTTGGTCTTCCCTTTCTGTTCTGTGAATTCTCTGAATCACTGTAGTTTGCCGAAAAAGTTACAAGTACAGCTGGTTCTGGTTTAATCCAGGTCTTCCTGATACAGAGCTGTGGTGCCGGAGTGATCACAGTCCCTAGCCCCAAGGCTGGAGGGAGCTTAAGTGAGAATCTGGTTGCTCTGCCTCCAACTGCTCTCAAGCCCAGCGTCCTACTTGTTGGTCACTGCTCATGTACATAGGACTGATCTGCTTGAGAGACATTAGGATTTACAGCATAGGAAGCCCAGGAAGGGTCAGAGGTGGCCACACCCTCCCTTCCTCTGTTCTTTTTCTCAAGTGGTAAAAGTGTTTGGGCACATGTGACACACTCTTTGGGCACCTACCCAAGAGAAGCTCTCAATAATGAACAGCGATCTCGATTAGACTTAATTTAGCATCTGACCCAGCTGCCCTCACCTCCTTTGTACTTAAATAGCTCCTTTCATCCAACAAGTTCAAAGCTGTCTAACAAAATAAACCCACTTATTCTTGCACCATGACAGCGTAGGCAAGCATTGTCCTTCCCATTTAAGGGAGAGAGAGAGAAGGTGAGTCATTCAGTGGTTGAGGGATTCTGCTGGTGACATAAAGTGAGTCAGTGGGGCCCCAGGGTGATTGACCTGTGTTTCTTAAGTTCACATCCAGTGCTCTCTCATTTCTAATTAAAAGATTAGCTTTGATAAGACAGTACTTGTGTGTGTGTGCACACGCGTCTGTGTGTTTGTTGTAAGTGAAGAGTTTCCCTGGAAACCACACAGGTCCTCATTGCCATCACCATCACCAGAATCATCATCATCATCATCATCATCATAGAAGCATATATCCATCAAACTCTTACTATGAGCCAGGCGCTGGTTTACATTATAGCTACAATCATATGGGTAAACTCATTTAATCATTACAGCAATCCTAGAAAGCCAATGCTATTGTTTCCTCATTTTGCAGACAAGGAGCCAAGACTCAGAGAGGTTAAGTAACATGCCCAAGGTCACACAGCTATTAGGTGGTGAAGCCAGGATTCAGATCCAACCAGCCTGCCTCCGGCAACTGTGCTCTTAACCACTGTGCTTTACAGAGGCCAAGTCTCAGATTTTGTCAACAGGATGATAGAATCATAATAACCCAATTGTTTTGATTCCTTTCCTTGAAGGAAATGAGTATGTTTATGTTAGAAGAAACGTTTCTGAGAATTTATACAACCAAGGGTGGTACAAGGAATGAAAGTTCTTTAGTATCACAGGATCTTGAAGCTTGAGGACTCTGGTAATTTTAATAAACTGAGAGTTGCCAAAGAAGTTCAACTCACCTCCTGCCATTGTAAAACCACCTTGTCTACTGAGAAAGAGGAGGAGGAAAATAGAATCTATAGATGTTCATTGTTTCACCATTTACAAAGTACTTGTTAAAGTACTTTGTGTTGTATCCAAATGGAGGCCCCAAACAACCCTGAGAGAGGGGAACAGGCATCACAATCCCCATTGTGCAGAGGGAGAAGTACAGGTGTAGGGAGGTGAAATGACCCCTCCGCACCTCACGGCAGGTGAGGGGCAGCTCCATGCACCCAACCCCAAGTCTTCTCATTTCTGTTCCCCTGCTCTTTCCCTGTTCCCAACTGTGAGGGCCTTGCTGGAGGTACATGTGGATAAAACTTCACATTCACACCACTCTGAAATCCTGGATGGATTTTATGGGAAAGGCATCCTAGGGTCTGGGATCTCGCTAGGGGTGATCTTCTCAGTGCTGTCCCCATTAGCATTTTAGACTCAGCTTCTGACCTTTCGCCATCGCCTGGAGGCTCCCCCGTTTGATGCTGGTTATTGCATCCAAATGTCCCTTTCCCTTCTTCCTCCCTAGTTCTTGGACATCCTATACAACCTGCCTCAGTGATTCACATTGGTCTCCAAGGTCCTCTGCCCTCAGGAAGTCTCTCTGGTCTCAAGGGGGCACAACTGTGTCCACTCACCAGCAGGACTGCGTACTCCCTCTGTTTCCCTCTACCAGCCTTATTCCCCTTTCTATTTCCTCTGTCAATTTACTTGATTTACTGTGGTTACTTTTCTTTTTTGCCCCACACCACATCCCTGGAATGATTTCTTATACTGCACCTGGCAAAAAGCATATTTCATTTGCTTTGAAACTTACCTTGACTCCCATGGATCCTGTGGGGATGCCACAGGGCTGAAGAGATGGGCCATCACCACTGCCTCTCTTGTGGTCTGCAAAGCAACAAGAACCAGATGCCGAAACAATTCATTACCCTGCCTGGCTGAAGACTAGATTATTAAAGGGAACAAGATTCTAATGAGAACAGTTCTCTGAATCCTGCTTGAGTCACTTAGAGAGCGAAGCACAAACAACTCTTTGGGATACAAGTGCATAACCTGAAATGGCTTCATCCCCTCGCCATGTGGCTGAAAATCATGAGCTGGATTGGAATGCCCTAAATGGGGTTTGGGTCAGGGGTGGGTGTAGGAAGAAATGGAGTGGGTAGGGGAAGGAGATATTTTTGGGTGAAGGCCCAATCACAATACATTATGTTAGCTGTGGACCTTTCTGCTTAGCAGGACTCAGAGTTCCCGGGTGGTGGGGACATGACATGCCCCCACTCCCCACAATGTCCCCCGCCCCTGGGACTGTAGATGTGCAGATGCACACAGTAGATGTTCAACAAGTGACTAATGCCCATAATGTCACACGTACATTTTTCTTTTTATTTATTTTTGATTTTTAGATGGGGTCTTGCTGTTGCCCAAGTTGGAGTGCTGTGGCATGATCTTGGCTTACTGTAACCTCAAATTCCTGGGCTCAAGCAATCCTCCTGCCTCAGCCTCCAGAACATCTGGGACTAAAGTGTGCTCCACCAAGCCTGGCTCGTTTTAAAATTTTATTTTATTTTAATTTTTTTTAGATGGAGTTTCGCTCTTGTTGCCCAGGCTGGAGTGCAATGTTACGATCTCTGCTCACTGCAACCTCCGCCTCCTGGGTTCAAGCGATTTTCCTGCCTCAGCCTCCCAAGTGGCTGGAATTACAGGCATGTGCCACCACGCCCGGCTAATTTTGAAACTCATTTTTAATATTTTTTTGTAGACATGGGGTCTCGTTAAGTTGCCCAGGCTAGTCTTGAACTCATGGTCTCAAGTGATCCTCCCACCTCAGCCTCCCAAAGTGCTGAGATTACAGATGCAAGCCACTGTGCCCAGTACCCATTTTCTATTTACATTGAATACAAACATATTTCTAAATGTCCATCTTACACCTTCTAAATATCTCATCTCCTTAACTTCTGGCTATTTCTCATACATATTGGGGACCCATCTTGGCCTGAATTGTTCATAAAAAACATTTTTTTCACCAGAACTATGATTCTTTTGTTTTAGTTTAGTCTTATGCTCAGCATAGAGAAGTTGTGTAATAAATGTGTTCTGAATTAAATTGAAATAATGAATGTGGGTTTGACAGCCCACTGACTGCTCAATTTCTCCTTGAATGAAAAAAATTTGCAACTATTCCAACTAGGAAACTAAGAGAATACATGAATTCTATCCCTTGCCTGTGTGAGGTCATGGGGACCTTACAACCCTGGGGTCCCATTTTCCCCACTAATTCAAGGAGCAAATTTACTCAAGCCCACTGAGATCTTAGAAACACTGCAAGAAAGAAGCTAGATTTACAAGAGATGGCAGCATTGTGTTTACTCACCGGACAGTCTCTCTGTGGTCCCCATCCTGAATTCTTGTGCCACTTCACATTCTGCAGGGCAACCAGCAGGGAGAAAAAGGAATCTCTAGGAGTAACCAGAAGATAACAGGGGTCGCTTGTTCTCTCCTGCATCTTCTGTGTGGCTGCCGACTGGCCATGACCTGCAGCCAGTGCAGGACTGATTCTCCCTGCTTCATTTCTCCTTTCTTCTCTTCCCACTCCTTATTCCTTCAGGAACAGGCAGTGTTGCTCCTTTTAGACCTTACACTGCCGGGGCGTAGATGGCAGTATATTTCTCAGCCACAAACAAATCTTAAGCTGGATCGCAGAGGTGATGCTTTGGTCTGGACACCTTGGAACAATGTCACTTCTTTCAGAGGCCTCAGAAGCTGCAGTCCCGTGTCCATAGATCTTTTGAGTCAACTCGATTTATGCCTTGCAGGACACTCAGCATGGTGGGCCACTCCTCAGTCTATTGGCTTATTTTGCCTTGGCTTCTTCTCAGCTTTGCATTCTCCAGGTTAGCCCCTTGGAAGCTGGGCTAACTTTGTCTGATTTGTTGCATGATTCTGAAGATTCTTCCCTCCCAACTTTCTTCCTTGTCTCTTCTTTTTCTTGTTATCTCTCCTCGTCTCCATCTCTTTCCATTTTTCTGATCTCTCTGCATTGTACAAAAATTCTATGTTTGCTTTCTTGTCAATCTATTCCTT